ATCTATCTTTGCGCTAATTTGCTTTGGCAATGGTTGAGGACCAAACTTTTATCTTGTTGATAGTTCAAATGACTTGATAGAAAGTTTTGATGGCTTCCTTCCAAACTGGGCGAAAAATTCTGCAATGCTTCTGAACTTTTGAAGCAGACAACAAATGCAAATAATGTGTTAAGCAAAGAGAAAAACCAATCAATATTTCAAGTTGAGAGAGAAGCTAACAAAAGTACAAATACTTTTTGTAGAACAGGCAGATCATCAATTCTCCAGCAACTGGTGATCTAGCACCTCTTTTAATCCAGAATGAATTAAACGCACAGTCTACTCTTGGGTGTCAAATAAACATCCCCCACAATACTTGTTAATTTTGGGATTTTTTTCACTCCACCCTAGAGCTTATGAGAACACCCATATTCATTTTGACTATTTAGTCACCCTAATCAATAGATCAAGGTAAAATTTTGTCTTAAAACTTTCTAAGGTGGGAAAACTATTGGACTCCAAACTTTCTTTTAATAAAATATCTATGTGTTTGAACTATTTAAACTATAAGATCTATCTACACTGATGGCACAACTATTTACTCCTGCCTTGATAGTAAGCCTGACCAGTCTGACAAGATCAAAATAGCACCCAATGTCCAAAACAACCCCAAGCCCACCATTAACTGGGGCAAAAGATGGCTTTATTCGGACTATTGTCCGCATCATTATCGCCATATTTACTACAAAGTTTCGGCTGTTGTATGCTCCGGTCTTCTTCAGGTGGTTGGAATGTCGAACTGAACCCTTTATTTTGCTCACTGGGGTAGACTGTTCTAGTTCCACGTGCCATGTTTAATGGATGTCAGTTATCAGTTATTTCCTGTTAATTTCCCTCTGAAAGTTCTCCACTACCTTAACTGGGTATTGAACTCACACTCTTTGGGTCCTGTCACTGGATCTAACCAATGCATTTATCCACTGTGCCACGTGTCCTTGATTTATACCTCATTTATTTGATTTTCTCATCCCCACCATTTATAACACTTTCTTAGCCCTCCATTTATTATCTCCCTTTACTTTGGCCTTTGAAAATATTAGAAGACTGAAGAATTCTTATTCTGGACACCTGTTCATCCCATCCATGAGCCAAACTGCAGTGTTAGAATAATATATATACAATATTGTGCTAACTGACATAATAAATAAATGTGACTATATTTTAATCAAAAACTTTTTACTGCATCAAATTGCAGCATGTTTTTCTATTCATGCCTTTTTCAAGGGCATTAGTGTGGAGTTATACCAGATTATTATGAAGTTTGAGTTTAGCATACCAATTCTAATTTCCCATGTTCCTTGGTCACCATCTTCACTGTCATTATTATTATTATTTTTTTTTTTTAGAAATAAATATTTATATAGATACAATATAGATAAAATTAGAGTGCTTTATAATACTTTCATATCTGGGATATCTACTAACAAAAGTGATGAAAATAAAAAGAATCTTAATCAAATCAGCTAGATTAAAATTTTTTTAAAATTCCCAGCATCCCTTATTTGTGCGCATGTGTAATTGCATCAATGTAACAAATTTAGTCCAATGAAGTCCTAAAGGATGAAATGCCTCACAAGAAAACTTTGTCATACATTTTTCCCCCAATATTGTTCTTGATATATAAAAATATATATCGTTATCTCATACTATCATGTAAAAAAAAAAAGAAGTTAATTTTTGAAGTTTGGCTGGAAGTAATACTGTAAACTGGCCTGTGTGGTAACCTTGAGTGACCACAAAGATCTGCCTCACATATTTTATATTCATTGAGTCAACATTGTAGGCTAATTATCAGCCCCCAGGGTTTGGCCATTTGGTTGACCAAAAGACACATACAGACAAACAATAGCCAGACTTATAGGAATAGATTAAATCACTGTCTACAGAATTCAAAAGGGTGACCCAAAATAGGATCGACAAAGAAGAACAAAACATATTTCTTTTTCCTAAATGAACAAAGAAAATATTGATTAATATGAAATGTAAAAGGTCTAAAACTTAACATTTACACAATGTTTTCTCAACAGAGATGGAACTGTGAGAATAATGATGAATTGGAATGTTTGTAAAGTTTGAGAGAAACCAAACCTTTCCAGTCATAACCTATTTTCAGAGAAAGATTCCAAAAGCATTCAAGGCAAGCTGGCTGTATACTTCTCTACTTAAACTTTGCCAAAGTACATTGAAAATATAAATTTGATTGAGTTTACTTTTGGAGGCATGGTGGAGTAATAGATTGTGGCAGGGATTGAGGAATCAGAGAGCTGAGTTTGAATTCCAGTCTAGTTCATTATATTCACTTACTTGGGAAAGGCATGAATTCAAATCTTCTGGCCTTAAGAGGCACGGTGGAGTAAAGGATTGCGGCTCGGATTTAGGAATCAAAGAGCCGAGTTCAAATTTCAGCCAAATTCATTACATTCACTTATGTACTAATACCCTTGGGAAAGGAACGAATCCAACTCTTCTGGCCTGAAGAGGCATGGTGGAATAATGGATTGTGACTCAGATTGAGGAATCGGAGAGCTGAGTTTGAATTCCAGTTGAGTTCATTATATTGATTTACATGCTAATACCCTTGGAAAAGGCATGAATCCAACTCTTCTGGCTTGAAGAGTTATGGTGGAGTAATGGATTGCAAATTGGATTGAGGAATCAGAGAGCTGAGTTTGAATTCCTGTTGAGTTCATTACATTCATTTATGTGCTAATACCCTTGGGAAAGGCATGAATCCAACTTTTTTTATTTTCATGGTGGAGTATAGTTTGTCTGAACATTTTTATGGAAATAGTGATAGAGCAGCAAGAATCTTGTGATGTTTTATCCGTCAAAAATGGATTGCAGAATGGAAAATAATTCTTCACTCACAAGGATGTGAAGATGCTTTTGGATTCTATCAAGACTGGAAAATTAAGACTGGGCAGCTCCTGCCCATATATGGCAACAGTATTTCATTTTCAGCTTGACCTGGTTCTTGTAAAGATAGAGGATAGAATGAAGTCTCATATTTAAATAATGATAATTCCTCATCTCCAAAATTTAGACCAAAATTCTTGATATCAATAAAACAATAGATTTACCCTTTATGATGATGTCATTACAAGGAATAGTGAAATATTGATCAACTGCAGACAGACATGATAAACTGAATACTTTAAATGTGCTATTTCCTCATTATATGATAAACATTTCAGAGGACAAAATTAGATTTGAATGCATAATTAATAAGAATCGATATAAAATTAAGTAAAATCATTTATCTTCAGAGGATATGATAGAGAAATATAAACTGATCACACTTGGACCTTATTTTAAAAAATGCTTATTGGTATCTTATAGGGTGTGAAGTGGCCATATTTATTTTGTTTCACCAACTTTTGACTGGTTAAGTAGATTATCCAATACTTTGGGAAGCATGTCTCATCGAGATGATAAAATATTCATAATTTATGGAATATTGTTGCCACATCTGGTCTATATCTTCTGCTATGTATTTAGAAATTCTTGATAAAATTCAAAGAAGAATCTGCAATGTATGTACATCTTGATTTCAGTTACTTTCCCACTGCTGTAACTGTTTCCCCAAGTCTTTTCTATAGATATTTTCATGGTAATTGTTCTGATGAGCTTTCCTCTTTGATACCTAGACTTAATAAATTTATTTCAGTACTAGATTGGTAGCAACGTCTCATCATTTTACAGTTGAAATGGCTAGATGTAACCGTAAGTTCTATGCTAACAGTTTCTTCTCTTGCACTTTTCACTAGTGGAACTCCCTACCAGCCACTTGTAAACCAGTTAACTTTGAGATTCCAAAATTTAAAGGCAATGTCAATTGTTATCTTCTCCTTCCTTAATTACTGTTTTTTTTTTTTGTTCTCTATCTTTAATAATGTTTTTCTTTTTAACATATTTTTTCACATTCAGTAACTCCTTGCTTTTTAGTAGCTTTATTGGTTTGCTTGGGGTGAAATGATTAAAAAAATATATACTTCATCCTAAAACGGGTACACACTTCATACAACAGAATTTAGCTACAATTACTTTAAGTGGTGGTGGTAGTGATGATGATGATATTAGTCCTGCCTTTTATTTTTATTATTTAAGGTTTGGTTAGGATGGCAGAGTGGGGCACCCAGTGAGGATCGATCACACTATTCAGTAGAAATGCCCAACTGGACTAGCTTTGCCAACCATTATGCCACACAAATTGTTGGTTGGTTGATTCTATGATGTCAACCTTTTATGGAACACCCTGTGAGGATTGAACTCACTAATCAGTAGTAATGTTCTACCAGAGTAGCCTCCCTAATCCTTACCCCACTGCAAAGTGTCTAGTGTATATACTGGATGCTAGAAAGTTACAAGTGTATATACACTGGATGACAGAATGCTATGAGAGTGTATGCACTGGATGATATAATGTGCTGACTGTGTCTGGAATATAGAACATTCCCATAACGACCCATTGAGTTAAAAGTAAAAATAAAATCATCCTTGATAATGGCTAAAAGTAGAGTCAAAACCGCTCAGACATACAGAACATTCAGACAATTTCTATATAATTTATGTCCAGAAAAGAAGAAAATTATAGGAACATAAGAAATATTAAATAAATAACTTAAGCGCAGTACCTTGTCAGTCACTTTTAATGAAACTTGTATAAAAGAGGAATTACTACACAAATACACAATTATATATATATGTATGTGTATGTATGTATGTATATATATATATATATATATATATATATATATATATATATATATATATATATATATAATTATTTTAAAAAATATGATTTCTTAAGCTACATAAGAGTTTTCATGTTTTAAAACAGGAACCAATGTGTTCTTTCATATTTTCTATATATTTGAAAACACACACACATATATATATATAAGATAGTGAGAAAGGTTTTAGTGACAGAGCACTAGGCTAATGGCCACATGGTTTAAACTTCAAATTCTGGTAATGAGTAAATGGAATACTAAGATGGACAAATATTGAACAGAGATAGATAGATAGATAGATAGATAGATAGATATTGAACAGAGATAGATAGATAGATAGATAGATAGATAGATAGATATTGAACAGAGATAGATAGATAGATAGATAGATAGATAGATATTGAACAGAGATAGATAGATAGATAGATAGATAGATAGATATTGAACAGAGATAGATAGATAAATATTGGATAGATAGATAGATAGAAATGAAAATACAATAGCAATCAAATCAATATTATCATCAGTCTGTTTAGTAACTGTTGTCAATCTCTTTTCTTTATATACACAAACAACTAATCTTAGCTCAGTGCAGAGAAGACATTGTCATTACATAAAGATATAAGTCAACCTTTTCCCCCACTTGTAAATATTACATGCTTGCAAAGAAAATGTAGAAAGGAATAGTTTATTTCTTCAGATTTTTCAATCAGGCATTCATATGTGTTACTTGATGATAAACCTTTGAAATCTTATCAATTTTCTGAAAAGCTCTCTGCATCTCCCTGTCACTATTTTCATTGCCTGGTTAGCAATGATATGAATTGAAATCCAACTGTGACAGAAACGCTGAGCTTTGTGAAAAACCTTGCTGAGAAAGGGAGACACGCCAACTTGAGGAAGAGTGTGAACAGATAGGAAGAGGTCAATAGCAGCGTATTGATTGTTCATCAGGAGAAAGTGTGAGCAGGTCCGAGCTAGAGCTCACCTCAGACGAATATCACTAAGCGATCGGTCAAGCGATTGCATGATCTAAAAGTATCTTGAAGACAAGGTGTGACCCATAGCAATCAATCAGCCAGCCCATGGCAATCAGTCACACCCACTCACTCACAATGCATTGAGCAGGAAAAGAATGTTGGCAGTTGTACGCACACACACACACGCACACACACACACTCTTCTGATACTCTCTTCTCTCTCTTTCATAGTGCAAGCAGCTACAAGAGTGTAGTGTAAAAATAAAATGCGAATTGCCGCTAAAAGACATTTCCAATATTGAAGAAAGACACTTAGTTATTTGGGCAAAGTTATGCCACAACTTGTCAAATAAAATAGCCATTTTTTATGGAGTCTCCCCCTGCATTCTCTTGCATGTGAGGCTACTAAGTTAGTGCTGTTGGGAATGGAATAGCAAGGTTTCTTTCTTAAGCATTAAATGGAAAGGTTTTGGTATCAAATGTAGACTTGACTTGCTTTCTACCTTCAGAAACAATCAACAATTGTTACTACATTTAACAGAGAACAAAGGAATGCTTCTAAAGAAAGTCTAGATAAAAAGAAATAGAAAGAAAGAAAAAAGAAAAAGGAAAGGAAAAGGAAGAAAAATAAATGAAAAGGAAAGAAAAAAGCAAAAAAGAAAGAAAAATGTAAGAAAAAGGAAAAGAAGAAAAAGTAAAAAGGAAGAAAAAGAAAGAAAAATGAATATAAAAAAAAAGAAAAGAAAAAGGAAAAATAAGAACAGGAAAATGAAAAAATAAGGAAGAAAAATGAAAGAAAAAAGGAAAAGAAAGAAAAAAAAGAAAGGAAGATGAAAGAAAAAAGAAAGGAAGATGAAAGAAAAAAAGAAAGGAAAATGAAAGAAAAAAATGAAAGGAAAATGAAAGAAAAAATGAAAGGAAAATGAAAGAAAAAAATGAAAGGAAAATGAAAGAAAAAATGAAAGGAAATTTTAAAAAAGAAAGAAAAAGAAAGAAAACATGAAAGGAAAGGGAAAGAAAAAAGGAAAGGGAAAGAAAAAAGGAAAGGAAAGGAAAAAAGGAAAGGAAAGGAAAAAAGGAAAGGAAAGGAAAAGAAAAAGGAAAGGAAAGGAAAAAAGGAAAGGAAAAGAAAAAAGGAAAGGAAAGGAAAAAAGGAAAGGAAAGGAAAAAAGGAAAAAAAAAAAAAGGAAAAAAGGAAAAAGGAAAGGAAAGGAAAAAGGAAAGGAAAGGAAAAAGGAAAGGAAAGGAAAAAAGGAAAGGAAAAGAAAAAAGGAAAGGAAAAGAAAAAAGGAAAGGAAAGGAAAAAAGGAAAGCGAAAGAAAAAGAAAGAGAAAAAGACAAAAGGAAGAAAAATTAAATGAAAGAGAAGAAATGACAAATGAAAGGCAGAAGGAATTCTCAAGACAAAACCTAAACTTTACAATTTTTAAATTACTATTTTAATTTTAATAAATTTTTTCTTTTTTGCTTTTGGAGTATCAAACTTAAAAGAAAATCGGTGGCGTTTTGTTATGTTTGAAGAAAATCAGTTGCATTGTATGTGTATGCTTTTCTTTTTAAAGCTGACAATAGAAAAATAATAATTTGAAAGGAAAAATGTTTTGAAAGCACCAGATGTTGATAAGTTTTTTTTTCAAATGAAAATTAACAACGATCACAGATATATTATTTATTATATACTTCACAAGTTACTTAACAATTATTTTTTTAGATGTCATGTCCCTTCAGGATACAGGCAGACATAGCTTGCCACGGCTTCCTTTTCTTTATTATTGGTCAATTACCCTGACTTTTCAGGAAAGAAAGTGTAGTAGTTTCTCACTGCCTCCTCCACAGTTTTGAATTTGGAGTAGTATTTCTCTTAGACTGGCTGCCACACAAGGCTAGAGAACACAGTTTACTCTACTATTTTGCGTATAGCTGAGAGTACTTATAAATACCAAGTTTTGTCATTTTCTTTTATCCTTATCTCACACTTCACCAGCCTATTACAATTATAGGATGATGAAGATGATGATACCATTTTTCAGTCCCCCACCCTAGAAGAATAATCTTCATATTGATAGTGCTGCAATGATTGCAGAAAATTATAACTTTAATTTTGAAAGAGACCAATGGTTCAGAATTGGACATTTATAGCTCCTACATGCCATCAACCATGAAACTATCTGCGCATGTGTCTGCTGAGGGGATTAAAACTAAGGCAATGTATACAGACATATACAAGCAAAAGGCATTTTTTTTGCATACATAAATAATTATTTTTATTTTTATTCATACAAATTACTATAGCAAAAACCTGACTCCTTAACTCGTTTTTGATTAGTAGCATTTGGTGCTGGAAGGCAATTTGGAATGGTCACTACCAGCAACAAGCAAAGAGTCGGCTCTACGAAAACAATCTTGCAATGTGTTTGTCAACTCCTGAGGGATAAAGCCTGCAGGCTTATCGTTATGTATATTTTTGTGAAGTTTTTGCCATCAGTAGCTGTAGCCTTTGGACTTTGATGGCAGAGAAGAAACAGGTAAACAAAACAACAAAGTCATTTGTTTTCTTGATATAGAAGCTAAAACCTTAAAAGCAGCTGATATAAAAGGACGTCTAAATCCCTAAGCAGACAGATGCAGGTGATTTCTGTCTGAATTTCTGGGATGAGGAGTTATTATTAACAGTATTTATATTCAGACTAGTAGAGTGAAGTGTTTGGTGACATAGCAATTGTGAGTTCAATCCTTGGGCCACACAGTGTGTATTTGGACTCAATGGAAAATGGCAAGCAATAACTGATCAGTACTAAAAATAAGAACTAGATGATATCCCTAAACATGGGCAGTAGAATGAGAACAGTCTACTCTCATAAATTAAATAAAGGGTTCAGTTAAGAATTCCTTATAGGTTACTCACATTGATATATACCTGATGAAGGCTAGCAGACACACTGGCCGAAATGCTGTGATATCAACAACAAACAAAGACAATATTCCAAAATGTAAGTAGTGTAAATAATGAGGATATGAGTCTGAAAAAATTAGTATATGAGGTTTTATTTTTTATAATGATGTTCACCCTGTACAAGGCCCGGGAGCCCTCCGAGTTAGAGGGTTACAGAGTAAGAGGCACAGTTTATGTGGGGAAGATAACGGTTAACCCTAGACATAGGCAGCAGAATGAGAACAGTCTACCCACATAGATTAAATAAAGGGTTCAGTTCATAATTCCCTGTAGGTTACCCAGATATATACATTTGATGAAAGTTGGAGGACACAATGGCTGAAACGTTGTGATAACAACAACAAAGATGAGGACAATAGCGTGAATATAAATAGTGGAGATGCATTGGACCAAAAGTAGTATTTAACATCCAAGTTTTCCTGGAGCACGAAGCATTGTGAATCCATTTCTTCCACAAAACCTTAGTTTACAGACTTCATTTATACCAATGATTCTCATATAAAAGGTACTTGGTAATGGTAATATCAGCCATTTTCTTATAAGCAAACATTTGGCATTCAATAACTGTATTATTTTCAGTTGATATTTATAAAATCTATCTATTAAAACAATTTAAATTACAAAACTCAGGAATTATACTAGCTTTTGAAATCATCTCAGTAACTGATATACGGGGGTGGAGGTGCTGTCAGGTTGAAAGCTTTTCATTTTTTGCCTCAATCCATTTAAAAAAATAACCAAAAATAGTATTTAACGTCCAACATCAAAACTATTTTTTAAATAACTTGAACTGTGCCAAATCACATTGCTATATTCCATGTTAATAGGAATATATACTTGAAAAACAAGGTGGATAAAATAAGATAAGAAAAAAGGTAACAGTTATGCACAAGATCATCGCAAGTCAATCCAGTAGTGAGTGCTACAATTGGAAGGTCAGAAGTTCTTGCGTAAGTCTGAGTCATACTCAACAGATCCCAGCTTGTATATTTACTAACTGCCCCACGTGGTCAAATGTGTGTTCAGGGGCAGTCTACCTCCCTGAATGAGACTCTGCCCTTCGGCAGAGCCTTGTCCGGGTTCCTTTCTGCTTGAAGGCAGAGAGTTCGACTGTCTAGCTGAAAAGATTTCAACTAGTTGGTATTTACTAGCCTCCCCACGAGGGTAGATGTGGCACAAGGCCGAGTTTTACGTGGGTCTTTCGAGCCCATAAGCTCAGCCAAAAAATCCCCGTAGAACCCGCATAAACAGGATCGGGCTGGTCAACCTCCCCGAACGAGACTCTGCCCTTCGACAGAGACTCACCTAGGTTCCTCTCTGCTCAGAGGCACAGAGTTCAACCTGCAAGGCGAAAAAGATTTCAGCTAATCAATATCTACTAGCCCTCCCACAAGGGTAGATGTGGCACAAAGCCGAGTTCAGGGTCAGTCTACCTCCCTGAACAAGACTCTGCCTTTTGGCAGAACCTCATCTAGTTTCCTCTATGCCCGAAGACAGAGATTTCGACTGTGTATAGCCGAAAAAGATTTCGGCTAGTCGGTATTTACTAGGCCCCAAAATGTGCCACAAGGCCAAGTTTTACGTGGGTCTTCCGAGCCTATGGGCTCGGACAAAAATATTCCCTTTCGAACTTGTATAAACGGTTCAGGGTCAGTCTACCTCCCTCTCTGCTCAGAGGCAGAGACTGACTGTATAACCGAAAAAGATTTTGGCTAGTCTCTGTAGTCTGTTGATTTACAGATACTTATAGGTAGTTACTACTTATAGTGTGGTCTCTCATGGGGGTGACATTTTATTCCATTACATCACACATAATACAACACATTTGTATATTTATGTCTATAATGTCTATACTATACTTTACAAAACTAGTTTTATACTATCTTTTATTGTACTTTTACCATTGGTTCCAATCAGTATTGGAATGATTGCAAAATACTTTTCCTTTACTCAAATGTATAGACAAAAGCACGCAAATGCATTCTGGGATTTCTTCCGAGACAATAAAATAGTTCTGGTCTGTCTTGTCTTGAACTGGCCTATTTTATTGGCTAGGAAAAAATCCCAGCATGCATTTGTGTGCTTCTGCTTATAAATTAGGGAGGGGGGAAAGTATTTTGCAGTAATTCCTAGTATAGATTGGATCTAACAAATTGTGAATCACCATGATTGTTTTTCAGAAAGATAATGAAATGGTTTCTTGTTATATTCTCCAGAGTTTTGAATTCTGAGTTATTCTTCTAGCCTTGTTGCAAGTCTATACTGCCATGTTATATAACCCATAGCATAAGGGAGAAGAAATGGAATCCTGCCTTTCTGATGTATTAGCATGAAGTGAACACAATAACCTTGACCAGAGCTTGAACTTTATCTGCTGATTCTATTTTCCATGTTGATAACCATGATGCAAGCCACACATTTTATCAAGTGTTCTTTGCAAAATCAAAGAAATATTTGAAATAATTGACTTGGTACATTTTCAGAGATGATAGCAGTATAGTGACATTTTGTTTCCTGAAGATACAATTGTAATTTTATAATTGTCCATGATGAAGTATAGAAAATTTTTTAAACAAAGGTTCCTTGTAAGAAGGCAGATGATAGAGTAGCAACCATTATATGTCTAAATACTACATTTCTATTACTTCTAAAATCCTGTCAGAAGGTGTTTTTGTGTGCTTCCTGTTTCTTCGAATGTCTGCAACTCTGAGAAAAGTCATTTATATATTCAATATTGTTTATATACACAAATCTTTTTGTATATTTGCTGTTGTTAACACATTTAAAGAATCATCTTCAATCCTTGTCAGACATAATCCATAAGAAAAAGTAAACCAACAGACAACAGTAATTGCCCATTAATGTCCACTCACTGGACTGGTCTAATTTCACAGAAATAGGTATACCAAATACATAGGTGATTCTGAATTATGCCAAGGGGTGGGTTGATTTGTTTTTTTATGACTTATCAACCCTTTGCAGGTTATAAAGGCAGAAAATATTTTGAGATTGTAATTTTTTGGAGATAATGATTTACTGCTACAAGTCTAATGAATTAACACATAGTTGCTAGGCAGAAGAAGTGGATTTATAGATTTTCCAAGTGTATTTTGTGTATAAGTGAACCCAATTGGAATTGGAACTTGGCTCTCTGATTTCCAATTCCGAGCCATTGTCCATTACACCACCTGCACATCCAAGCTTACAACACTTGGTATTCCCAAGCGATAATCCATGTTGGTACTAACCAGTCTCATACAACCAATAGCATTTGGAGACTCATTCATTACTCCCCAAAGAGCAAAAAGATTGCAGGAAAAAATATTAGCTCTGTCTATATTTCTGAGATGAGGTATTGTAACTATTTACATTGTTCAGACTGTTGTCCAAACCTTTGTTGCCATATGCACAATGTTTTGGCTGTTGTATGCTCAGGCCTTCTTCAGGTGATTAGAATTTCAAACTGAACCCGTTATTTCGTCCACTGTTCTAGTTCCACATGCCATGCCTCTTCTGGATATCTCAGTTTTCAGTTATTTGTAACTCAACTCTCCAAGTTTTTGTTCACTTCTGCTGTGGCAAGGTAGTACAATAACTGAAGAAAGCCAGAGTATACAATGGCTGAAACATTGTGAATATGATAACAAAGATGAAGACAACAGTCCAAACAATGTAAATAGTGTAAATAGAACTATTAACTGTTATAGCCTTTTCTAGTATTGACGGGAATTTCCTTCCTAGCCTTTTATTTGAACTAATGTAGAATGTCAACATCTTATTTTCTCTTCCAGTTACATGTGATATCCATTTTAGCTGTTGCTGCTGTTGGAATTCTTCTGAAAGACTTGAAATATGACAAAATGCTTGTCTGCTTAGCCTCATGCATTTCTCAAGTATCAAATTAATACATAAACTGAGCTAGATAGGAAAATCATCTGAGAAAGTAAGATGAATCCTGAATGAAATAAACTTGCAAAAAGAGAGTTTTAAAATTACAAAATGAAATTAGAATGGAGTCAAATTCTAATTTATTTTTTTCTAACATTTTTTTGTGAAAAAAAGAAAAAAAAAGAAAAGAAAAAAAAAAGAAATTCTAATTTATGTTAAAAATACAAAACATAAAACAGCAACTAATCTTCAAATAAACTTTGAGCACAGTAGCACACACACACACACAGATTAACGTGGAGAGAAGCAGGCAGGTGGAGTTGTAAAGGGAAAGGTGAATGCATTTACAAAGTTGATTTGTCAAGTGGGACTGATCACTTAACCCTGAGCTGTCCACATGTCTTCCTCGGGTCAAGAAGCAGTCAACTAGTTTACAACATCATTCTCACGGCAACAGCAGCAAGTACTAAAGATGATGACGAGGAGGAAGGTGGATATTCATTATCAGGGTTCTTGTAAGTTGTGAACTCCTTTTATTCTTACAACCAGCCGCATTTGGGTTTTTGGTGGGCTGATGTTGTATTTTAGTTTTAATAGCATCTTCCCAAATTGTTAATCAAAGAAACAATTATCTAATTATGCTTACAAGAAAATTTATATGAAGAAACCCAGTCACAAAGACAAATTATAATTGACTTCAACAATTACCCTGTAAGCATAATTACACAGGTTTAAAAGACAAAAAACTGGCTCTTGCCAATCTATCATATATCAGAGGCAAATGTTATCACTCAATTCCATTATTTATAGCTGTGCTTGGAAGGAAAATGTGTAGAGTGTGACCATCTCACCACATTACAGAGGTTCCATCAGTGATCATGGTTTGTGCAGCAGTTTTTGGCTAAGGATGACATTCACCAGCTATGACAACATTCATATTCCCTAAAACTTGCCCTTTGAGACTTCAAAAATCAAATCCTAATTGAAAGGAACAAGATTTCAAAACATCAAGGGAACCCAAGAGAATGTGACAAGGCAGCTGCTTGCTATCCCCCAAAAAAGTAGTTCCAGGAATGCTTCCAGCAATATTTGAAGGAAATTAAATACCAAAGTGATATGTGTTGTTGTTTTCTTTTTATAGCACCAGTCTTAACAATTTTTGATCAGACTTTGTATAACTAAGAACTGCATATTCATCATTCTCTGCGGTTGTGGTAAATACAAGATCTAAAAATAAAGCTTGAGGAACACTGGAAAGATGCAATCAGTGGTGAAACTCTTAAACCAGAATGGCTGATCATATGTGAAAATAGAGTTGCGCTTACTAAGTTATGTGAGATAAAGACAAAATAATTGATAAGGAGCAGCAATGGAAACTGAGACATCTGAAAGAATCAGCACATACACTATACTCAAATCATATGATTAGATATCCATAAAAAGGCTGCATCAATAATGACAGAATTATTAGCTGAACTTGGAACTGAAAGAAATAAGGAGAACAAATACTACACTTTGATCCCAGGGAGTTAAGAAAAGTGTAACTCAAGTAGGACAGATTGCTTGGTCAATCAATGCCAAATATTTTCTTTCTACATAACATTAAACATCCACTAAGTATTTATTACTATGATTTACAGGTTAGTTGCTTTAAGTTATTTTAAATTTCTTATGAGGTTCAAAAGAACAAGAACATTAGAAAAGGGTTAATATTTAATAGGAAATAATGGTAAAAACTTTTTGAAATTCATTATTGTAGCCATCATGTTTTTTACACCACCATAGTAATTTACATATTAATAAAATTGTTCACACTTATTTGTACTATGTAGAACAGTTCTAAAAATATCATAAAGAACACAGCATGTCACAAGATACTATCCAAGGATCTGTTAATGATCATATTCAGAAAAAATTAACAATGTAAATGAATCAAGCTCAGAGAAACAGATAAGCAAAAAAATGATTATTTTTTTTTATCAAGAAAGACTGTCTTTTTGTAATACTGTTGAAAATTAAACATTTTTTAAGTACATATATTTTTAAAAAGTTCTTGTTATCATCTGCAGTAATAATACCCTTTTCATTTAGAAAAATGATGTCATTTTTTAGTATTCTTAAAATATATAAATTATTCTCTTTTCTGTTTTTAATTCATAATAGTATACCAAGAAATATATGTATGTGACATTAGTAGAAGTAATCCAGATATAAAAAGCAGCACACACACATATCTATGAAACGTTTATCAATGTAGCATATTTCACTATATATAAACAGTATAAACACTGCTTGGGACAGTTTTATGTCTTAATCAATCATTAGACCACCTGAGCTGCCAGTTACTAAAGAGTGTTGATTTCTATGTCCACAACTGGACATGTAAAATACTAAGTTGAAAAAAATACTCCAGGGTATGATTAGAGGAATTGAAATCCCTAATAAGGATAATGGCAGTGCTGGAATCAGCAAAAAGATTTGATGAAGTTGTTCACTGAAAATGAATAAAAGAAAAATAATTCATGCCTTTTCTAAAGTTATCAGTACAAAAGTGAAATCAACAAACTATAGAGGAATTTGCTATGAGCACATCCTACCAATGACTTTACACCATACTTAATCACTTCAGAAGGAAATAGAAATTTTGCAGTTAAAATTTTCTATGATTTTATTTGTTCAAATATTAATTTTGATAGTAAAAAGTAAGGGAAGAACAAATTCTAATTTTAGGGGCAACAATTCAAAAAATAATACAAGATATTTACAAAAGCATGTGTAAGTAATTTAGTGCTGTATCATTAAATGTACAATTAAAAAGTGGCTTTGGTTCGTACTTTGATAACAGAACTAAAACTCAATTAAAAAATATGGATTGGGAAGAAAAGGATCATGGGTGAAGGTAAGAATGATAGTGGGCGGGAGTGAAGAAGGATTGTGGGTGGTGAGAAAGAAGGATTGTGGGTGGTGGGAAAGAAGGATTGTGGGGGGGGAAGAAGGATCGTGGGGGGAGTGAAGAAGGATCATGGGGCGGGAGAAGGATCGTGGGTGTAGAAGAGAAGGATTGTAGGGGAGAATTGTTTGAAGAGAAGGATTACAGGTGGAGGAAAGTAGGAACGTGTGTAGGGGGAAAGGAACAATTGTGGTTTGGTAGAGAAAAGGATTATAGGTGGAGGAGAAGGATTGCTGGGTAAAAGAACCACTGTTTAAGGACAATTGCAGGTGGTAGGGGGAAAGAAGGGTTGTGGCTGCCGGTGGGGGGTATTGCGGGTGGGAAGAAAGAACATTGGGGGGAAAAAAAAAAAAAAAGAAGGATTGGAGTGAATATTTCCTGGCACTCACTCACAGAAGAAAAGCAGTAAAAGCTCCTGGCTTTAGTGGTAGCAGCAGAAGCACTGACTGGCAGAGAGAGAGAGAGAGTTTTACTGACAGCATCTGCTACCACTTGATAGTCTTCAACTTTATGGCTCAGAAGCAATGGTGGCGCCAAACCTACTGCTTCTACCAGACACTGCCTCCCTGTATTCCTCCTAGTCCTCCCACCCAAACAGGACACTAGCTGACAAATGACTTTGTGAAGGCCTTTCCCCAGAGATTTGTAACTTTACAGCCTGACAGCAGACCAGGAAATAAAAAAAAAAAAGTACATTGGTTGGTACACACACACACACACACACACACACACACACACACACACACACACACTCATAAATGAGGGTTGAAAGGAGGTGAGGTAGGGGAGATAATATGTTTAAATCCAGTGTTGCCATGACAGCAGCAGTCATATTGGAATAGAGATATTCTCATTACGAAAATCAATACCATCTCCAATCAGAGAGAAAGACATATGCGTGAATGTGGGCACAAGCACGAGGCACGTAGATAGAACTCGAGTAATTACAAAAGAAAGATGAAACAAAAATAGAAATGTTGACATTGTGAGAGTGGGAGGATGTGCATGTGTGTTTGGGAAAATGAATGCATAAAGATGGGCATTTGAAAAGAGAAACTGGAAAGAAGAAAACAAGAAAAAAAGAAAAGAAAGAAAAAAAGGAAATCCTTATTTCACCAAATGCTCAACAAGAGGAAATGAACAAAATTGACAACCCTCAAAGGGACCACTACATCTATTTTCTTAAAACAAGCAACAAAATATTTCAATCTTTTCAATGGATATACACACAAGAAAAGAGGAAAAGACTATCTTTTATATATATATATATATATATATATATATATATATATATATATAGTATTGCACACATACACAATAGGTGAAAAATTTGGGGCCAATCTCTGGATTTATTATTATTATTATAATAATGATTAGTATGTTTCATACCATCTTTAGTTTAATTAATTAACTCCTACTAAGCAAAGATGTTAATACTATTTAACCGCTTATAGTTTGGTGTCCACTAAATTGGTTTTGAAAAAGGTACACAATTTTCAATTTTTAGGCAATTCTTTGAAATTCAGTGGATAGCCCCAAACATTCAGCCTATAGTATGTATATATATATATATATATATATATATATACACGCACACACACACACATATATACACACACACACATATACATATATACACATACACATATATATACACACACACACACACACACACACACACACATATATATATATATATAAACACGCATAGCATGAAGTGAGAGAGGTTAAAAGTTCTCAACCAAAGGCCCCTCCTAAAACTTCTATTTATCTGAATTTTGGAAGTGAACTTTGCAAAGGACTTTTCAGCACTTTCTAATGTGCCTATGTATTTGGGCATATATATATATATATATATATATATATATATATATATATATATATATATATATATATATATATAGAGAGAGAGAGAGAGAGATATGATGGTTACCACATTGAGATATGTGTGATGGTTGTCACATTGATATATATATATATATATATATCAGTGTGTGTGTGTTCCATCACTTTCAAAGCCATATATAAATTCTGTGGTACAAAATTTTTGTTTAAATATATGTACACACATACATATATACAAACAATCAAGATGTTATAAGTTGCATAAATAATTTATAACTATATTATTATAGAAACAAGAAAATATTTCATCATAAACAGAAATTTTTTGGAAATATCAGAAATGACATAAAATTAAGTAATGAATGTATTGGACTATTATGGATTTTTGACTTAATTTCAGACAAGTATTTCTTTCATTTAATTTCTCTTGCTTTTACACCTCATCAGAATAGTCTGAAGTCATCTGAATTTCTTAGATGAAACATTGCCAATTATTATTCACTTATGACTAGTATTTGACTTTATTTCTCTTGCTTTTATACTAAGTAGTAATAATTTTAAGTGTTATGAATTTTTTAGTTAAATAATAATCATTATTATTATTAATTTTTGACCAGTTTTTCTTCTCTCTTGTTTTCATTGTTATCCCCTGTGAATAAATTGTACTTCTGCATATATAGAGTTCGGTACCAACCATCATTACACAATATATCCTCCACCCACTCGGTTAGGTGGTAGCACCAGACTGGCTTATCAATGAAATGTGTCTCTCAACATTCGGATAAATTTCAAACTCAAATGAAAGAGATCGACAAGAGAAAATAGGATTTACCATAAGATCTTGTGCTAATCTATGAATAATTGATGGAAGCAAAAACTCCAAAGAGATGGAATATACACAAAGGAATTTTGTTCTGGAAAATATTGCACAGTATTCCTAACAACATCATCACCACTAAAGCTTATGGTATATAATATCCAGAGCTAAGTCGACTGTCTCATTACTGAAATAAATCTTTCTCACCAATGATAATAGTTGGTTTTAGAGCCAAACTAAAAAGCTAGGATTCTGATTGTTGACAGGCCCTCCCCATTTTGAAAATTGGTGGAACATGATCTTCCTAACCTCTATTTGGCATTGAGCTGGGTTAAGCTATGCTTAGTAAATATCAAGATATACCAAGATAACTGAAACCTTGCCCTTCTCTTGGTATTTGATATTTTGTACTAACCAGACATAACATTTCATATGTATTGTAAACAACGAGTTTGACACCTGTCACTTCACTGGCGGCAAGATGATCAAATTTCAAATCTAAATTGTTTTTCCATTTAATATACTACTTTAATTAGAAAACATATTCAGTTGAAATACAGAAGGAGTCAAGAAAAGGAATTCAAAGGGATGTACATTTCAGCTTATACACTTTTCCAATTACTCAGGATTTGTTGCCAGATAGAAAAAAAGCCTTCATGATATGGAGCTGGATTTTATTCAAATTTCATGTGTGTGTATGCTCATGGAAATTTTAATTCAATGGCAGGTCTAAAAATATTTTACAAAGTTTAAAACTTTAAAATATAATTCTATTTATTACTAAAAATTTTCAACGAATTAAGTTCAATAAAATCTTATAAATAAGTTTTTTTTCTTTTTTCCTCCCTTTTACCAGTTTTATGATTTTATTACTCAGCCTTGGGTTGCAGTAGTCCTGACTTAGTGGGAGGAAAATATATTATAGCAATGTCTTATTTCTGACTAAATGTGTGTGTGGAGGAGAGGGGATTAACCCCTTCCCCAGCATAGACATGTATACACATTTTTACCAAAAGTTTCTTTTTCAGACATGGGCGAATAAACATGACCAAAATATAACATTTAAAAACCAGCTACAAAAGTGTTTGTACAATGATCTTGATTCTTTTTATGCCATTCTGAACTTGAAACGAGTCCAATTGTCAACTCATACGTCCGGTAGAGATATTAGCCACCACTCAGTTACTTCAAAGTGTCTCAGTTTCTGAGTTATTATATTAAAAGCAAATAAAAGAATTTGTCTGAAACTTTTCCCAATAATAATTGGCAGGAAAGGGGTTAAATGACACAAAGACATATAAGTCACCCACATATAACACAGACATATACATAAATATTACATATGCACATACAAAGTCGCACACAGAAACTGGGTGATGGACAGAAAATCTGCTCTTCTTTGCAATGGCTATTAGATGTTGTGTTAAAAGGTATTGAGAACAAACAGAAAATATCTTAAAGTAGAAAGAGATAATATAAAGAGTTAAATGACAAAAAAAAAAAAAAAAGAGAAGGGGGTTGGGTGGTGGAGAAATGAAAAAAAAATGACTTCATCTAAGATAAAGGCAATAAAACTACTAAATACAAATTCTCAACTCAGTAAGTCCAACAGTAGGCAAGAAGAAGTCCACCTAAATTTTCTGCAATCAACTTCAATAATATGCATCAAATTTCATTCAAGTTTACACAGCAAGAATATAATAACAGTCTCTATCTATTACTTATATTAAAAGTATTACATTCTCAAAGACTTCATTCTTCTTCAGTTAAATTTATTATTTCCGAAGCCAACATTTAAAGATATTGAATATATACAAGGAGTAGCTGAAAAGACCAACTTCACAAAATCAGTATTTCAAACATTACAATAACTGATTTTAGGAATTGTATTATTCAAGGAAGCATCCATGTTGGTAGGAGTTTGTTCCACAAAATAGTAATTCTCAAAAAAAAAAAAAAAAAAAAACTGAGTGGAACTTTCTCCTGACAACTGGATGATGGTAGAAATGTAGATGATTTGACTCCATGGAAATAGCATGGTATATCCTCACAGTTTGAACTGGTAAAACTAAAGAATGGAACCCATTTGAACATTTGCCATGGAAATAGTGACAGAGGCTTGCAATACTGCGTCTGTGGGGAAAGAGGTTGCAAAATGGAAAACAAGTCATTTTGTACAAGACTGCATAAATCATTTTGAACTCTTGTTAAATAATAGTTTATCAGACTATTATTTTTTTAGAGAAGTGTATTTCTGCTTTGACTTCCTCAGTTTAACCTTAGGGGTCAAATACAAAGCAAAATAAAGGAAGTTGATTTTTATTGACTGAACTAGTGTGGGAATGATAGATAGATAAAGATTTTTTGGGGAGTTGGTTCTTACACGTCAAACAATGTAAACAATGGTTTCCTTTCATCTCTGGATCTGTTCCCCAGTGGAGTGAGAGAGCGACTCCACTAACTAGTTAGAAATGTACATGTCGATGTGTTTAAAAAAAATAGTAAGATTAAAATTCCCTGCGTTGAAGTTCTTTATCTCTGAACAAAAATAACTAGCGATCACTGGCTGTGAAAGAAGAAGGCAACATTATTATTGAAAGGAGCCTGTTGCCCAAGACCTCTCAGCATGAGGGTGACCATTGCCCCAGGACCACCCCAAAACGAAGAGGCTATACAACACTCTTTCAAGGTTGGAAAGTGATGACATGGCAGCAATTCCCCATCTTTGACTCTTGTAAATATAAAGCACAGGAGAAAGAATGAGCCAGTCATTTTCCCAGCATCTTTAACAATAGATCGTATATATTTAAAAATTTAAATGCAATGTTAATCATTATCTGCTATCTTTCTGTTCTTTTATTGTTCTTTCTCCTTAATAGTGATTTTTTTTCTTTCTTATATTCTCTAACACTCAGTAACACCTTGCATCTTAGTGGTTTTATTGCCTTGCTTGGCATGAAAAAAAAAAAGAATTCTACTTGAGGTCAGGAGTGAACTTGAATTCCAGTAAACATTTAATGTATAAAGCCTTGTTCAGAATGAAACCATTCATCATGATTGGAGAAAACTCAGGGTTTGATGAAATGGTATTGTGTCTATGGGGAAAGAGGCAGTAAAGTGGAAGATAAGTCATCCTGAACTAAATCGCATAAATGATTTTGAACTCTAATAGGGCTGAAAAATGAGTATTGGTCACCTCCAGCCCAGATATGGCAGCAATATTCCATTTTTGGTCTGATCTGACTTTTGTAAAGATGAAGCATGGCAGAAGGACTTTATCAAGGCTAGAAAGTGTTATAGTGGAACACACTTATTCTATTGT